ACGAGATTCAGGCCCTGCTCGAGGATTTTCGCCACCCTTCAGGAAAAGGCTTTAGAGCGCCAGCAGGAGACGGCGAGAAGGCGATCCTGCAGGCAGCTCTGGATCGCATCTACCCCGCCTGGACTGACAGGACATGGGGCGAGCTTAAAGACAAGTTTCAAGCACCCACCGCCATCGGCTTGGAAGGAGGTCGGCCTCTGCAGTTTGAGACGGTCCGCCTCTCAGAACTTCTCCTCACCTCCAGGAACCCTTTACCCAGCGAAAGCAGATGCATTGCGTGGATGCTTCGCCGAATCAAGGAGTTAAAAAGTCTTATTCAGAGAGGACCTTCCAAGCAGTTTCAGGACCTCGCGAATCACACTCGCCAGCTCCCCTCGAGAGGAGGCCCGTTCAGGGCCCTTCGGAGGAGCCATTGCGAGTTCTGGCACCACTTCTGCGCGGAGCTCGGCACCCTTGCTCTCACTCCAGGCAAGCAGGACATCTTCGTCCAGGCTGTCGAGTGCTGGGTGCCCATCCTTGGCGAGTTGTTTGACAGTTATGTTAAGAAGGAGAGGAAGGAGGCGACGGCAAGGTGGGAAAATTGGTGTGAGGAGGCATTAGCTGGAGGAGCGAAACGAGGACATAGCAGTACCAAGGTTTCTGGAGGAGGAGACGAGGATACTGTCAAACATCCTGATGGAGCCCGCTCTTCAGCTTTCGGCCTACGGTTTCAAGAGCAACATGATATTTGGAGCAAGGCCTGGGGGGTTCACGAGCCCCGAGCTCAGCTGCAGGATCCCCTGGACACCAACTACTGGATTCCCCCAGGCCCCTCCAGAGACCAATTACGTAAGATCTCGTCAAAGTTCAAGACGTTCACCACCGCTGTGGACGGGTACCACCCCAAGCACTTCTCCCAGCTCTCTGAAGGCGCCCTTGAGGTCATGGAAGGCATCGTTAACACCATGAACGTTCTAGGAAGCAGCCCTTCGGCGCTGAAAGAACTGATTGTTGCACTATTCCGCAGGGCGACTGGAGGTCGAAGGCCCATCGGGTTTTTCAAGAGCTTCAGCCGCATATACTCTAGGAGCCTATCTCACCACTGCCGCGAATGGGAACGTATCTCGGCCAAGTCGAAACATTTCAACATGGCCCCTCATAGGCACACTACTGATTCCGTCTGGAGGGCGGTGGTGAGAGGCGACATCGCAGATCATTCAGGCAAGTTTGCAGCTACCCTCCTGGCAGATTTAAAGCAGTGTTACGAGCACATTGGCCATCACACAATGCTCAGCGAGGGCATGAGGTGTGATTTCCCTTTGTTCGCGCTGAAGGCGGCGCTCGACTCTTACAGGTGGCCACGGAGGCCACTCATGGACAACGCAGTTGGCGAGCCCCTCTACCCCACCAGAGGGATTGTAGCGGGCTCCTCCACGGCCACCTTTGAAGTTAAAGGATATATGATTCCGACGATCCGCGACACGACGATCAACGATGGCACGTCTCTCTCGATACACATCGACGACCTGGCGTTCGACTCGATAGGATGCACTGTTGAAACGTGTTTGAATGGCTTGGCGGATCTTGCAGCTAGGATTTTTCATAAGTTTACGAATACCCTCGAGCTCCCTATCCATATGAAGAAGCTTAACTTCACGGCTAACAACTTCGAGGTCCTGAAGCAAGCTCCTGGGGCTCTTGGGGAATACTCTGGGACCATTAAGAATTCCATTACCAATCTGGGGGTGGACTATAACGTGGGGAAGATCAGGGCCGCCAAAGGATGCAGATCGAAAAAGATGTCCAGGTGGAAGGAGAACATGAAGCGTCTCCCCAAAATCTGTCGACTTCGGGATCGCAAACAAGGCAAGCCGAAAAAGGTCAAAATATACACCTGCGGAGTCAAGCCCTCCATATGCTATGGGGGAGAAGTCTCAGGACATTCACCTCAGGAAATAAAAAAGTTAAGAGTTCAGACTGCACGGCTTCTCGGCATTTGGTCGCCTGGCTGCGACATCAACATTTGCTGGCTCATGAAGTCAGAGTCCGACCCCATCTCCCACGCCAGTGCCACCCTCAAGAGGTATTGCAGGGAGTGGTGGATGACCACAGACAGCCAGATTAAGCCGCCAGATGCTCTCAGCCCGAAGGAGCTCCGCCAGAGCTACGAGTTCTCTCAGAGGTGTTTTGATCAAGTACCTCGGGGGAAGGGTTGGGCCTACAAGGTTAGGAGCCCTCTCACGGACTCCCTTTTCTGGACGGAGCAGGCAGGCTGGTATTTCAAAGGCCCCACGACGGTCAAGACCAGCAATGAGCTCGAGCTCAAGATCACGGAGTCCTCACCAGCTCTCATACAGAAGCTGTTCACGGCAGACCTCAGGCAGAAGTTGTTGGAAAGCTCGGTGTGCAAAAACTTTGCGAGTCCGAGGCCCCTGACGATGACATCCACCCCAGGGCCATCGAGATCAGAAATCGAGGTTTGTGGGGTTCCCCGTTCAGTAAGGTCTGGAACAGCAGCAAGTGGAGCTACGAATCAAAGAGACGCTTGAGAGATTTAATATGCAGCACGACTCCCACCAGCCATCTTCTTTGGAAGCGAGGTTTCAAGGTGGAGCCGACCTGCCTGTACTGCGGCCTGTGCGACACTGTCTTCCATAGGCTATGGCACTGTCCCCATGGGGACTCAGCAAGAGGAAATGTCGACCCTGTCATTGTTGAGGCGGCCCGAAGTTCCGCGGGTAAGGACCCCCTTTACACCCAGCTGTGGATCCCCGTGCCCGAAATCAAGACATTTCCTCCTGACGATGATATAGTGGAGTATTGCGACAGGGTCGGCGAAATTGACGAGTTCGATTTCACGTGCCCTACCGAGATCTTCATCGATGGCAGTTGTCTGGAACCCACGAACCCTCTTCTGGCCCGAGCGGGCTGGACGGCAGTTGAAATCACAGCTGGAGGCGACCTGAAACGTGCGGTCCGAGGTCCCCTTCCCAGGAAGTACCCTCAAAATGCTGCCTGGGCGGAACATCACGGGCTCCTCCAGGGACTACGCCACCTGTGGCAAGATCCTGCAAGATTCGATGAAGAGGCAGATATTTTTGCAGACTGTCAGGCCCTGCTCACGGGATGTGCCTTTTCGTTCAGAGCCCTGGACGGCACCTCCCAGCAGGCAGGCCACTGGCGAGCCATTCAGAGATTGGATAAGCAGTTTACCATACATAAAGTCAAGGCTCACCAGACTCTCCAGCGAGGAGATCGAGAATGGGCAGATCAACTACGAGTAATAGGGAATGCCTGGGCCGATGTCATGTGTCGCGAGGCCGCCCGTGAATATGCCTCCCCCCAGGACGCCGAGGCCGTTAAAGAATCCCTAGATGGTTGGTTTGCTGTGTTTAAAGCTGCGGTGTCGATTTTAGAACTCTGGCCTTCAGCTAGGGAAATGCACGGCACCCTGGAACGAGAATCGAAGAGTTTAAGGCCACCCCCCCGAAACCATAGGCAGCACAACGTTTTGTGGAATGGCCGCCTGTGGCAGTGCCTCTCGTGCGCCAAGAGCTTCAGGTCCCCCCCATCGCGCACGAATCGGTGTGCTGCACTCCCTCCCACCTTCGGGGCCCTGGTGAGGGGTTGCAACCTTCCCACCCCAGGACACAAGATGTGGGCGTGCAAGGTTGTTTCTTCAGGCATTCCAGTTTTGTATTGCTCGAGGTGCGGGTCGTACTGCACCCGCACTCCCAAGCATCTCCTTGGACCCTGCGCCAAGATCAAGAAAGCACAGGTTCGCTGTTTTCGCCGAGGCACTTTGCCTTGGCCCAAAGGCACCCGTCTTTCCCGCCCATGGAGAGTTCTCCACGGTGCTGCCCAGTGGTGGAGGGACCTGGGCGGGGAGTTGGGCGGGGAAGGGGATCGTTCAGCTGCTGCGCAGTCCGCAGCCGATTCTGTCGAGTCTGTCCGTCCTGCCGTCGCCGCGCCGCCCCGTGCGAGCGACTTTGAGGAGGAGGAGGAGGCGTCGAGGTTCCTTTTCGGGCCCCAGGCCGACGGCGCCACCTCCCCCCGCGGAGCGAGGGCCACCCTGGCCCATACAGGGGCCAGGGGCCCCCCGCCTTTGGTCCCAGGGCAGGCCTCGGACGACTCTGACTAATCTTTCTCCCGAGGTCAGGCGAGCCTGGATTTGGCTGACCTCTTAATGCCCATGAATGAATGAATGAATGAGGAGGAGGAGGAGGAGGAGGAGGAGGAGGAGTGCACGTGGGGACCGCCCCTTCAAAAACGAGGACCCAACATCACTCAGGAGGGAAAAACACACAGACACAATTGATCGTCGATCCCCCAGAAGATATTGGAGAATATGGGAATTGGGCGGGAAGGCAGAAGCCCAGAAAATATTAGAAACCATAGGGGAATCTTTTCATCTGCGTGTATTTATTTGTGTGTCCTTGGGCCCCTTGAATCACAGGACGGTCAGGAAGAGAAGAAGCGCCCCGCAAGGGGCGCGCGCGCATGGTCGCGGTGCGCGGCCCGCGGTCCAGGCCAGGTGGCCGTCCGCCTCCCCGGAGGAGCGCCGCGAGGCCGAGGAGCGGAACGCGCCCCCCGCGTGGGGTCCCCATGGCCTTGGCATCGCTCGGACGTGTGCATTTTTCCTCCGGCGAGGGCCTTCCAGCCTCCCTCTCTGGACGCCACCCGCCCCCCTGTCCCACTCTTCCGCCGACGCCCTCAGCATCGCCAGGGTGTCCCGTGTCACCCCTGCCCGAAATTTGATGATCTGGGAGTGCTCCTTGGCATCGCTCGGACGTGTGCATTTTTCCTTCGGCGAGGGCCGTCGACGAGCATCCTTGATCGTTTGGCGAAAAAACCACGCACGAAGCAGAAAAAAAACCACAGGGAATGGACGTCCGAGCGATGGGCGAGTGGCTGTCTGGCCGTGGTGGTTGTTGTTTGGTGCCGGGTCGCCCTGTGGTCCCGCCCCCTTCGCAGCGCCCCACCTCGCTGCCGCCACCCCTCGCCTGCCCGCTGTTTCCGGCAGGCATGGATCCACTCGGTCCAGGCTGAGATATTCTTCGGCGGGTGGATTGGCCTCAACGCCATGCTCTTGGCGATCGAGTGCGACCACATGAAGGACGAGAAAGCTTGGGGGTGGCTCCTTGTCTCATGCCCTGTCCTTCCTCCGTGCTGCCTTTTGCCTCCCTTCCTTATGCTACCTCTCCTGACACCCGTCGACCCCATCCACTCAATTCCTCGTTCCAGCCTCCCCCTTCTCCCTTGCCCCTCCCCCGTACAGTCAACGCGCCTAGTCGGGACGCGCGCTATCTTCTAGGACTCCCTTGTGTCCTTGCCTATGCGGCCCGTCCGTTGCCGTTTTAACTGGTCGCCCGCCGCCCACAAAAGCCCAACTTCGGCCTCCAAAAGTCTTGCGTCCTTACCAGCCGCCCCTAATACACGTTCTGATTGTACCTCCCTGCTCCTGGTCGTCCTTCCCGCCCATGCATCTTTCCTGCCCCTCCTCCCCATACGTCTCATTCTTCGACCACGCATATCGCGAATCACCGCTGCCCCCTGACTGTCAGGACATGCCGATGTGGCCAAACATCTGACCAGATTTTGGCCGAGCTTTTGGATTACCTGTTCCCCCAGCCGTTGTGGAAACCAGCTGGGACACATGTGAAACAGAGAGAAAAGAGGAGGAGGAGTGACAGAGAGAGGAGGAGGAGGAGGAGGAGGAGGAGGAGGAGGAGGAAGAGGAGGCCTCGAGGGGCAATCTTGGGCCTCTGGGGGACTTCAGGGAGCCTCTTGGGGGTCTCTGAGGGGCCTCTTGGGGTGGAATCCTTCTGGGGCCTCTTCGTATTCCGATGCCATCTCGGCGGCTGGTTGAGAGGTCTGAGGGGCCGTCTTTGGCGTCGTGGTTTCCTGGGCCGTCGTGACGCCATCTTTGAGGACTCCGAGGCCGTCTTCAAGTACCGGAAGCCAGGAAAAGGCGAGAACGCGAACACTTTCTGTGAGCTCGGTGGGGACGTCCACGATTCTGACCACCTCGAGGTCTTCTTGGAGCCCTCCTGGGGCGTCTTGAGGGCCTCCTGGGCCGTCAGCAGAGCACATCGGGCCGTCGTGGAGCCACATTTGGGTAGTTTATTGCGGGGCCGAGCGGGCCATCTTGGGCTCTCGCGGGGCCGAACTCGGAGGCGTCTCGTGGGCAAGAAACACGACTTGCTGGGGCTGCCCTCTGAGTGGCCGGGCCGGATCGGCCAAGGCGGCGTTTCAGATTCTCGGAGGGGGCTCGAGCGACCAACCTGCAGCACGCCACCAGTGTTCAGAGCCCCGAATCATCAGGGGTAACTCGGGTCAGGGCTAACTCGGGTTCCTTTTTCGGGATTCCGAACCCGAGTTACCCCGGACCCGAGTTACCCCGGATAATTCGGGCGTCCAGAGCCCCGAATCATCAGGGGTAACTCGGGTCAGGGCTAACGCGGGTTCCTTTTTCGGGAATCCAAACCCGAGTTACCCCGGACCCGAGTTACCCCGGATAACTCGGGCGCCCAAAGTGTTGAGGGAGATCGTAGATGGAATGGGTTTATGCACGTTTAAACGAGAACTTGATGCGCAGCCTCCTTTCTGGACGCCCGAAATGGGTACGGAAAGAGTGGGCACAATGCCCAAAACAGCAGTTCCTGCTCATTCTGAACAGGATTCGCTGTCCACGCCGCCGCGGCCCGTGTCCATTCGAGACAGAAGGCCGCCTGCCCAACAGCGGCCGCTGTTGGTTTGGGACAACATTTGTTGTTGGGCATTGTGCCCATCTTTTCCGTACCCATTTCGGGCGTCCAAATCTTTGGTACAACAGTTGTCATGGTAGCGGAGCTGGCCTCGGCCGGTTCCCGCCAAGCGCCCCTCCCGCGGCGGAAAGCGCCGGCCATTGCCCGAGTGGCTGCAGACGGCCAGCTGGGCGACGGGCCCACGGCGAGAGGCGCGACACGGCCAGCAGGGCCGAGGCCGCGCAGACGGAGGGCTTCGTGACCCTCGCGAGCGAGCACATCGAAGCCCACGGGGACATAGGAGTACACGGCCGACAGCATCGACGAGATGACGGAGCCTGGCGCCGAGTGGCAGGGCGCAGGACTGAGGCCGCCGACGTTCGACGGCCAGGAGGAGTACTGGACGGAGCGGTCATTCGTGATGAGGGCGTACTTCGGCGATGAGACAGCTCAGGCGCAGAATCTATTGGAGGCGGCCGAGCAGCGGGGCGATCCCGACATCAGCATGGTGGAGACGCTGCACAGGCTTGGTGCTGAGGGAATCGCAGCCACCAAGATGATGTTCTTCTCGTTGGTCATGACTGTGAAGGGCAGCGCGCAGATGCTGATCAGAAGCGTGGAGGACCAGAACGGCGCGCTGGCGTGGCGAGCGCTGCCATGCGCGCGCAGAGCATCATGACTGCGATTCTCAACGTGAAGCCGTTCTCTTCAGACTGGTCGGGTTTCGAGCAGCACCACGCTGACTCGGAGCGGGACAACAGGCGGCACGAGACGGCGTCTGGAGAAGTGCTCGACGCGAGTGTCAAGAAAGGTATATATTTGCAGAAAGCGCCTAAGAGCACCAGCTGGTCAGCTCCATGATCCAGTACCTACAAGCTGCGACGGTGTGCGAGGACGGGCACCAACAGAAGTGGACAGCACCACTGAGCTCAGGAGGGGACGGCGGCAGAGGAGGTCGACCAACAGGAGCTTTGGAGGAGGACGCGCTGACGAGACAGTATCCCAAAGGCAAGGGCAAGGACGACAAAAGCCAAGGGCAAAGGTGGATACCAGAAGGGCAAGGGCGCATATCACAGGGCAAGGACAGCCGCAGCACGACAGCTAGCACAGAGCATGACTGGAGTACCTGGGACGAGGCTGTGCTGCAACTGCGGCCAGCGGGGACACTGCGCGAGGGACTGTTGGTACCGACATGAGACTCCAAATTATGACAAGGGCAAATACAATGGCAAGAAGGGCGAGAAGGGTGGAGTCCACGAGATCACACTAGACGGCGGGAGTAACATCAGCACGCCACCACCGAGCAGCCCAGCACCGTCGACGGCAGGCCCATCAGCTAGTCCAGCTGGGGCCCGAGCGATCACCGCGATAGACGAGCGCGCGTCGGAGAGGGGAGAGGGCATCATCTTCGCAGCAGCGAAGCACGAGACGCCAGAGTTGCAGGAGGAGAAAGTCTACAGCATGATGAAAGACGGACTGCGGCGCGCGTTTTGAATGCTGACGGACAACTGTGCGGACGAGCACGCGCGCCGTCTCAGGGATTTCCCGCACGTGGAGATCAAGCCTGGACGGAACCCCCACCTGACGGTCGCCGACGGCACCCCGCCGACCGCCGACGCACTACGACTCGAAGACGGCGACGCTCCGCATAGCAGGCAACGGGCGCATCATCATGGAGTTTCAGGTCGCAGACGCGAAGCAGCCCATGATGAGTCCGGGCAAGCTTTGCCGCAATATGGAGAACAGAGTCGCATGGCACGACGGCAATGGTGGCTTGCTGTAGCACGAGACGGCAGGACTTGTCAAGCTCAAGAAGATCAACGCCCACTACGCGCTGGAGTGTCGGGCCAAGGTGCGCGACGACATGGAGGAGGCACGCAATGAGATGGCGCAACAGGCACCAGCAAGCGCGGCGGCTACAGCGGCGCGACCAGGAGAAGAGGACGCAGACGGTGATGCAGTTCAACGAGCACTCGCAGGAGGACCACGAGCGCCACCGCCAGAGGAGCAGTCGCAGCAGGTCACGTCACGAGGAGCAGCGGATGCACTGGCAGATGCCCCTGTAGATGGACCAGTGGTGGTTCTTGACGATCGTGAGACGGTGGGGCATGGGACGACGGCCAGCGGTCTACCTGGACCGCGAGAGCCGAGCGCGGAGGAGATCGAGAGGTACGAGCTGACGCCCTACCCAGCGGAACCTCGGCGCGAGATCGGGGCCCAGGCGATGGCGGGGAACGTGACCCCACAAGAAGAAGGGCAGGCACGACGAGCTGACCCCTCGCTGAGGTTCGACTGCGGCCAGGCGGGCATCGAAGGGAACCCCGTCAACTTCGAGTTCGCGGTGGGCAGCGACGCTTCGACAGGCTGCATCTGGAGAGCAGCTATCTTCCAGAAGGGTCGCGACGACGCCTGCACAGTGGCATCGGCAGTTGCATGGATAGCTGAACTCGGACATGCGCGGGTGGAACGACGGGCAGGAGGAGCAGCAGAGTTCTCGTTCATCACGGCGGCCAGGGCCAGGGCGGCCAGGGAAGGCATCTGCGAGATGATTCTCACGCGGTAGCCGGAGAGGTACGACAGCCAGGCAAAACGGCAGTGCCGAGCGAACCATACAGACTGTGAGGATGCAGGTTAGGACGCTGATGCTGCAGGTCAACGAGAGGCCGAACCACGACCTCAGGCCCGACCCCCCGTGCCTCGCGCGGACGCCGAGGAGCGCCGAGTGGCTCTACAGCAGGTGCATGTTCGGGGGGGGGGGGGGGGCGCCAACCACGCCCCCTGCGAGAAGACCCACGTGCTCATGTACCAGAGGCCGATCGCGGCAGTCGGCGAGACGGCGATCTGCAGGAGGCTAGGAGCGCAGGTCAACAAGCTGGAGCTTGCGTGGCTGGAGGGCATCTGGCTAGGACTCGACGCGAGGACGGGCGAGCACCGGGGCGGAACGCCGACGGGGGCGCGCAGGTCATGGGCGGCGAAGAGGAAGGTGGAGAGCCGACGCTGGGACAAGGATCTGTTCGACAAGATGAAGTGTATGCCTTGGGGGCCGACGCCAACGACGAGAGGGCAACACCCGACGAAGAGGTCGCTGCGGGGGCTGATCCCACGCTGGCCGTTGCCGAAGTACCTGGGCCCAAGGGCAGCGGCGGCAGCAGCAGCGCCGGCAGCAGCCGCAGCCGCAGGAACTGGAGGAGGATCGCAGCCGGGCCCCCAACCGCCGGCAGCAGCTGCAACAGCAGCGGCAGCACTCTACGTCGACGTGGACATGGACGCGGCGGCCGGATGCGAAGTCGCCCAGAGACGAGCGGCAGGTCCGTCAACGCCGAGGGCGACGCCGCCACATCCAGCGGGCATTTTGTTGGCGGAGAGGAGCCCCAAGAGAGAAAGAGA